TTGGGTCTTATAATAAGGACCGGAGGAGTATATTTTTTTTCACTTTCATTTATAAAAACATTTTATTCGGCTTGTGGCAAATTTCTTTTTATATTTTTATTTGCTTATACATTTGAACCTGACTTGAAAAATTTGAAGTCGCTGACCCTCTTATGTATTCCAAGGAAAAAAATATTGCATATATATTTTTGGTAACGCACTAAAATAAGCACCATAAAAATACATAACCAAAAAATTTATGCTTTATAAGGCAACACCGATAAAATATAAAGATTAACAACTCCAAAATGAACCTCGTTGTATTGTTCTACTTTTTAGCTGGAGTCGTCCACAAGAAATTGCAACATTAAGGGCCATTTGATATCAATTTATGCTTTATAAAGCACCACCAATACGATTTAACATCTCAAAAGGAAGCTTCTTGTATTTTTCTACTATTTATTTATTTATTTATTTTTAATACAAGAGAGGACTATTCCCAATTAAAAAAAACATCAAGGGGCATTAAATCTCAGACACTCTGCAGGAACAAGAGTCCTCAAGTGAACCGGACAAACATCAAGTGATGAGGATTTAGATAAGCCCTCTTTTGCCAACGCATCTGCCAAACAGTTCTGACCTCGTGAATTATGTTGTATTTTCAGCTCCCAAGCATGTTTCATAAACTATGGAATCTGCATAAAACTTAAGCTGTGTCTATTGTTGTTGTGTTCCTTCTCCATCAGCTCAATAAGATTTCTTGCATCTGATTCTAAAATGACTTTTCATCCCAAGCAGGTTTGAGTCCTTTAAATATACCCCATTCCTCTGCTTCAGTTGCACTACAATTCCCAAGATACTGAGTAAACCCTACAAGCCAACAACCATTGCCATCTCTAATTACTCCCCCGCATCCAACTTCACTTTGGGATGTTGTCATTGCACCATCTACGTTAACTTTAACCCATCCAAAAGAAGGTGGTTGCCAAGTTAAATTTCCAATTATAGCTGGAGTTCTAGTAGGAGTAAAATCATGTACCTGTGTGAAACTCTTCCATATCTGCATAATAACAATTGCCGGTTCTGCTAGCTTCAAAAAATCAACATTAAAAACAGCACTATTTCTCCACTTCCATAAATTCCAGATAGATACAGCCCATACTAAATCCCAATTTCCATTCATATTTAGCCCCATATCTCTTTTTAGGTTTAAAGCAAACCAATCTCTTAGAGGAGCCGCAAAAAACTGTGCATGATAAATGGGATTTACAAGCTTCATCCACATATTTTTTGCAGATACAGAGTCTCGGAATATATGCATTTCATCTTCATCATAGATATTACACTGTGGGCAAATAGCAGAGGTTGAAGACCATTTACTTCTCCACATGTTCGTAGGAAGCCTATTATGACGAGCCATCCAAAGAAAGACACGGATCCGTTCAGCTCCTTTCCGTTTCCAAATAGTCTCATACACATCCCTGCTAGCATTGGACGGCTTTCCTTCAATTAGATAATAGGTGCTTTTCACAGTGAAAGACCCATCCGTGGTTGCATTCCAAACTAAAACATCATGGCCAGCTGAAGCCATAGGTGGCAGCATGGTAATCAACCTTTGAAAGACATTACTGGGTATAATTGTGGCAAGTCTTTGAAAATCCCAAGCTCCATGTTTAACCCAGTCAGCTGCTGTACTATTTTCTTCCTCTGCCGTTAGAGATTGCAGACACATATCTTTAATTGCTGTACCATCAAATAACCAATGGTCAGTGAAGAACTTCACCATTAATCCACTTCTGATATTCCATTTCATTCCCTTCTCAATGATTTCTTTTTGCTGACAAATAAATTTCCACAATGAAGAGTCTCCTGTTTTGTAAACCAACAGATTTTCTTCGTTATTCATCATATACTTGTGAAGTAACACATCTACCCACAAGCCTTTAGAACCAGTAATAAGTTTCCAAGCACTTTTAGCCCCACAAGCATTATTAAGAGAAGATAGTCTTTTAAAACCAAGACCACCATATTGTTTAGTCAGCACGATTTGATCCCAACCCATAGGATGAAATCCATTTGCTTTCTGACTAGTTCCCCAAATGAAATTCCTTTGCAACCCCTCAATTTCATGACAAATAGGGAGAGGGAGTTTTTCCAACTGCGTAAGATAAAGAGGAATAGCACTCTCCACAGATTTTGCTAAAGTTATCCTACCTGCCACAGAAAGACAGTTTTCTTTCCAAGAAGGAAGTTTGGATTTAGCCCTCTCAATGATATAATGATAAAGTCCCTCTGGGTTTCCCCCCTTTGGTGATTGGAAACCCAAGATATCTTCCTATATCAGTAGAAATCTTCATCCCAGCAATGCTACAGATTTTCCTTATTGAATCAGCAGAAACTTTAGGAGAGAAAAATATAGAAGATTTGATTTTATTGATTTTCTCCCCAGGAGCCATGCAAAAGCGATCAAGACAGTTCATCATAATAGTAGCCTGCTGTTCAGTAGCCTCTCCAGAGAGCAGAAGATCATCGGCGAACATGAGATGAGAGATTGACGGGCCTCCTCTAGATATTAATATATATTTCTAGCTGCCCCTGCTCATTACTTCATTGATAACATGTGATAACCTATCCATACATAGCACGAACAACAAAGGCGACATTGGATCCTCTTGAAAGAGACTTCTATTAGGAACAAGATATTTTGTCTGTCAACCATTCCATAGCACATTATAAGAGACAGCGAAAATACAAGCCATAATTAAATTAACTAACTTGAGCTCCAACCCAGCATCTATTAAAGTTTGGTGAGGAAAATCCTATCAGATTCGATCATAGGCCTTCTCCAGATGAATTTTCAAAGCCGTAAGACCTTTTCTACCTCTTGTCTTCTTCATAGTATGCATAATTTCTTATCCGACAATGATATTGCCCTGAGCTTGATGGCCTTTAATGAAACTCATCTAAAAGGTTGAGATTAATTTATCCATGATCTTCTTAATCTACTAGTAATGACCTTTGTGACACATTTGTAGTGTACTGTGCGTAAAGAGAGAGGCCCGAAGTGACTCTCCAATTCTGAATTCTCTCTCTTGGGAATCTCTTGGGAATCAAGGAGATAAGAGTTTTATTAGACTCAGCAAAAGGACATCAACTTAGGAAATTATTTTCATATTTCCATCATATAAAAAAACATGATGCTACTATTTATTATATTTTATAACTATTATTTATTTTTTTAATTTGTTCAAAAAAGATAATTTAATCTGCTACCGATAAAATTATTTTTATCTTACCATTTCTTTAGTCTCATTTCATTACTGCTATCGAACAATACTATAATATATTTTTTTTTTTTAATCGAACAGGCATGCATTAGTTCTCTTAGTTTTAATTTAAGTCCTTCCAAATTCTAATTGAAGTTACATTTTTAATTGGTTGCGGGTTAGAGGAATCATTTATTAAAAATAATATGTTGCGTTAAAAGTAGAATACGTCGAGATAAAAATAAAGTTATGTTAATCAAAATACACTTAACTCGACCCACAATTAATATTGTAAAAAATTGTTGAAAAAAGCACAGCACTCAATTAAAAATCCCAACAATATTAAAAATAATATTGTAAAAAATTGTTGAAAAAACTACTCAATTAAAAATCTCAACAAGGGATAGTTTGATTTGTCACGAAAGAGCCTAATTGAGGATATATTTGAGATAACATTTAAAAATATTTATAAACACATTTTGTATACAAGTCAAAATAAAGTTTTTCTCACATTAAGTATTGTGTATATCACCGTGGAAAGCCATGAATCTTTGGAATGACAAGCTTTATATGCTGCCATGAATTGATGACGTGGCTTGTCCAGGAGATTCCGCTTCATTTTCTTCGTTTCTATGAAAGGCCTGTCACCTTGTTCCTGTCTGTGTAAATCGTTAAATAGACCCCTTATCAATGGATCCTTTTATTGTCACTTATCAGCTGTCAACAACTAACCCAGATTTGTGTTGGCAGCAAATGGATAATCTGCAGTCAAGATCAAGACCAGATATAGTGTTTTTCATGAGTAGATTACTGATTTGGGTGATGGTGGTTGGTTATTTGCATTAAATTTTTCAAGATATGAATTAGGGACAAGAATAAATAGATCCCAAAAACAAATTAATGATAGATAGGTCCCAAAATTAAAAAAAAAATTATTAGTAACGATGTAAACAAGGATATATTTATGAGTTTCAAATGTAAATAAGATATTTAATATTTAAATATAATTTCCAATTTGCAGGTCTTGTTTAGGATTGTTTTTTTTTTTTTTGGGGGCTGAAGTTTAGGATTGCATATTTAAAACTCTTTTTTTCCCCAGAAATTCTCAAAAAAATTGTCATTTTTCCCATTAAATTATTTTTAAATTAAGAAAAATTTCATGAAATTTAGCATTAATAAGAATTAAATACTAAATTATGTAAACGTCTTTATATCGTCCAAAAATTCTCACAAGATATACTACTCATAAATTATAAACACAAGTCGCATTAGATTCATGTATTGTAAATTAATTATACTACTTCTGGTCCTTAATATAAGACCTCGTTTACTTTTTATTTTGGTTCTGAATATAAAACTCCTATTCACTTTGTCTTTAATATTTATGTTTTTTTCTTAAAATAATTCTTTTAATAATAATAGTTCTAGCCAACACACTTGATTAGTAAGGATATTTTAGGAAAGATAACATATATTTATTAAAAACAACTAACTCGACAATACATATTTATTACAAATAATTAACTCAACTTATTTTTTTAATCTTTTTAAATTAATCAACTAGCTCTTATAATTAAGATTGAATTATATTGATAGGCATTAATTTATAGGTTTGTGACGCACTTGGTTCCCGGTGAACCAAGGCCACGTGTCCCTCTTTAGTCCTTTGCTCCTTCGCCGCTCATGACCTGAGGAAGCTCGCATCTAGCACGGGCAGCACAACCAAACATATTCGGGATTAAATATTTTATTGGTATATAACAATTCTTCATTTCCACACCACACCTCGATTCGGTTCTTCCTCGATTTCTGTGTGGTTGAAGCAGATCTCTGCGCAACAGGCCTGCGAAGATGAGCAAGGGACCAGGTCTCTTCTCGGATATCGGCAAGAAAGCCAAAGGTGATTTTGCATTATGAAGATCATCTATCATCTTTCACTTAATCTCTGTCAATTTTATAACGATTTGATGTATAGTAGTTCTTACTGGAGCCAAATGATTGAATGTATTTGTTCTGGCTCATAGATCTTTTGACCAAAGACTACAACTCCGATCAGAAAGTCACCATCTCCACCTACAGCAGCGCTGGAGTGGTAAGGACTTCGCAATCTGATCCTTCCACATATATTTCAATTCTGGTTCCTAACTTCAGATCGCGGTTAAGTTTCCCTTACATTTGATTAAGCGTTCACTTTTCATGAAAGCTGCAACTCTAATTCTGTTGAAGAATCCATCCAATTCTTAGCTTGTATTTTGAAATGATTTGAGCACAAATTAGCTTTCTATTTATGTTTCTTTGGGATTTCTTCGATCTGCCTGCCGATTTACTAAATACAGTCACCCTAATTAGATCATTATCTATCAAGCTGTTCTAAAATTGAGGCCATGATCTGACAAGATGCATATGAGGTATTTGTCACGCATGGTAACTGTATTAATGGCAAATGAGAGCGAATGAAGAAAGCCCGAGAGGCATGGCCTAGTTTTTTGAATAAAATATAAAGTTGCCTCCCAATATTAATGCTTGTATGATGGCTTTCAGATTTATTGGTGCTTAATTTTATCCGCACGTAGGATAGAGTATAGGCAGAAGTTAATGCAGATAAAAAGATTAAGAAATGAAAGATATCGGATGAGTCTCTCCTGTGTTGATGTTCTTCTATCTTTGTTCATGTTGTTCAATTCGGTCTTTGGAGGTCGAAGTGAATTCTCTTGTACTTGTCTTTGCTCGATGAGAATCTGACTTGAAGTCTTGTATTGATTGCGCTCTCTTTGTGCGCGTGTCAGCTTGTACTCGCCATTGATCCATCTGGGACTGGATGTTCTGATGACTAGAATTACAAAGCTTCTTCTTTGCTTTACAAAGCATAAAGAAAAAGGTTAAAAAATAAATATCTGATGTCCAGATTGAGAGAATTGAAAAGATGATCGACGAAACTGGATTTGTTTAGAAATAAAATTATTGAAATAGATTGGCTAGATTTAATAGATGAACGATCAACTGATCTGAGCTTCTCTGGAGCTTATGTAGACATCACAATATTGGAGAATCACGCTTAGGATTTTCCTCTGTTTGCCCGTTGGCTTGCTTCCATTAGATTATTGTAAACTTCATGTTTCTTTGCTGTAGGATATGGGATATTGAATGTGCATTAGTGGCAATGAAGGCTTCCTTGTTGTTGGTGGCATCTTGACGTATTTGCTCATTTTTTGCATCTAGAGTACAGTTTTCCTACCTGTGATGGTTAGGTTGAGTAAAAGAGCTGTGCCAATTATGTAATGTCTCGAGTTCAAATTATGTGAGTGGGAAAAGGCCATGCAAGGAGAGATTCCCTACATAAGGGACGCACAATAGAAAGTTCATTTTCTTTAATGGGTAATGGGATCCAAATGTGGCACCAATATGTCCCTTTCTTCAATTGGCAAGTTATAAATGTCTATGGGATACTTTTGTAACTTTTAGCTAGACGTTAATTACTAACTAAATAATGGGTTCCATACAATGTATTAAATCTCACTTAACAAGCCACATTGTTCACAGCTTGCTACAGGTTTTAATAATGTATAGATATAGATATAGATATAGATATGTAGATGAGTGGCAACGGCGGATATAAAGCAACATATCAATTAGGAAATTCTGCAAGTTAGCTGGGGCATTTGACCTCAGTGTATTTCGTGGATCTGCCCCTAGCTTGCGATACATGTGATTTGTTGTCGTGAATCTGATTTTATTCCTTTTTAACTCCTTTCAGGCCCTCACTTCAACAGCTGTCAAAAAAGGAGTAGCCTCTACTGCAGACGTAGCAGCACAGTACAAGCATAAGAATGCTGTTATTAATGTCAAAGTTGACACCGAATCAAATGTAGGTTGCTATTCTACGTGTGTATGTAATAACATTGTAGCTTTCTCCCACCTGTAATCATCTTATTTGTTTACTCTTTTGTCAGATCTCCACAACTCTGACATTCACAGACATTATTCAATCCACCAAGACCATTGCCTCATTTAAGCTGCTTGACTATAATTCTGGCAAGGTACAGACACGATGTTCCTTCTTTTTAGCTGGGAATTCAGTTATTTTGGTTCTTATAATCTCTATATTTTTTATCTTCTGACAGCTGGAGGTTCAATACTTCCATGACCATGCTACCTTAACAACCGCCCTTGGCTTAAAACAAAACCCCGTAATTGATGTTTCTGCCACTATTGGTACCCCTAGCATTGCATTTGGTGCTGAGGCAGGCTATGACACTGCAAATGGTAGTTTTCCTAAATACACTGCTGGGATAAGTGTGACAAGGCCTGATTCTTGTGCTTCCATAATCTTGTAAGATTACTCTGCCTGTTAGCGAGATTAATGTTCCAGGTCTCTGGCAACTGTACCCGCACTCGCTAATTTTTACTAACCATATTTTGATTTCTTGTATTTAGGGCCGACAAGGGAGACAGCATTAGAGCATCCTATTTACATTATCTAGACCAACCCAAGAAGAGTGCTGCTGTAGCAGAGATCACTAGAAAATTTTCCACAAATGAGAACACGTTCACGGTGGGAGGCTTATTTGCTATTGACCATTTGACACAGGTCAAAGCAAGGCTCAACAGTCATGGAAGACTCGGTGCCCTCTTGCAGCACGAAATCATGCCCAAGTCAGTGATGACTCTCTCTGGTGAGGTTGACGCCAAGGCCCTAGATAGAAATCCCAGGTTTGGGTTGGCCATTGCTCTGAAACCTTGAAGTTCTTCCATTTAGATTGCATGACTAGGACTCCAAGCTTCATTTTTTTTTGGGTGACCCTCGAATGAAGGGCTAAATAAGATCCACAGATGAACGTGTTTCTAGTTTCTTCATTACTGTGGATAAAATTTTTCAATATCTTGCAATCAACCACTCGTATGTTTACCAATTTTATGTTTCGATTCTTCTTTCCCGCGTCCCATGTACATCGTGAGATGAGGAAGTCCTTTTATTTGCGTGGACGAATCTTATCCATGTATTCTCCAAATTCCCGATTTCAGGATTGTTTTCTTTCTTCTTTCTGATATAATCAAATTTGTTTTAGTTCAAGTGGTCCTTGGATACGGTTTTGTGCGTGATGAAATCTAGTGGGACGGATGGGGGGTCGAGACTGGACTGGCTATGGAGTGCCCCTGAAGTTTTCAATTCGATGCTATCCAATCAGAGAGGCAAAAGTCTTCATTAAAACTTGTGGGACAACACGAGGCTATCTTTCTTACCTGAGTATTTTTCTTAATTTGCAAGCTAACACTTGCTGAGCGAGATTAAACCCGGATACAGGTGCCGCAGGACTAAAAAAGTTTGGTAATGTGAAAAAATGTTTTTGAAAAACACTTCTTTTGTAAAACGAGATAAACTTTTTTATATATTTACTTCGTAAAAACATTTTTAAAATCATAATTTTATTTCTACACAAACACCTTCTTAAGAGGGTTTTTGTCTTTTTTATCTTAGTAATAAGCTTGCAGCTTGTGCAAAATTATACTCAGTTATGCAAAAATCTTCATTAATGTCAATGTATATATAATTTATCGGAAGTCGTCCTATATGATACAAATTACAAGTATAATTACTGTAGTAAGAGAAGAACTAACTTGGCACTAGAACGGAATCAATCACGGCATCAAGCACGGTAGAACTACAGTGCTTCCAATGTGTTTTTTAAGAAAAATAAAAGTTTTCAATTTTATTTCCAATTTTATCTTTAAAAAAGTCGGAACTAGTTAGAGAGAAAAAAACATTTTAGTATTATTTTTTATTTATAGGGTGCTAAAATTTTTTTTTTACATAGATATACAATTTTACCTTTATTTTATTATTGTGTTGACTTAGTTTATACTGTAACATGCAAAATAAAAAATAAAAAAATATTTAAAAAATAATAAAAAATATTTATTAAATTAAATTAAATAATATTTTATTATTATTAAATTAAAAAAAAAAGAGAAAGAAACAGCTTTCGGTGGAAAGCTGGGAGCATTTGACAAAAGGAAGAAATTGGGGGAGTAGCATTTAATGAAAGATGGAAAAAATGGAATAAGGTAGTTGGATGGTGGAAGGAAAAAAGAATAAAAGGGAGTGGGGAGACCGAAGAGAGTGAGAGAACGGAATAGAAAGAGTGGGAGAACAGAAGGAAAGAGTGGGAAGAGCTGCTGAAGGTCAGGACAAGTTTTGAAAATCATTTAGGTACACAAAACTATTTCTTGTTGTCAAATTTTTTTATGAATATTTCCTATATATTTATAGCTTTATATTATTATTATCATTATAATGTTTAGAGAAAATTTTACTGTGTGGGTACAGAGTAAATATGGAGTTTTGACAATATATGACTGTAGAAATTTAAAGATCCACTATTAAGGAATTTTAACTGGTTTATTTTTGTTGAATGATTATTTTGAGAATTTTAAACTAAGATTTTAGTTGAAAAATTTGTTATTTAGACTTGTAATATGTTTTCACCGATTAAATTTGAGTTAAATCATTTATTTGAGTTATTTAATATATTATTGAGGTTTTAATCAGTTTAAATATTGAATAAGTTAAAGATATATTTTTGAAATAATTTGTGAAGGCTTGAAAAATTATAAATTGAGAATTTTGTGAAATTAGATAAAGCTACAGTTTGTTTATAATTTAAAAAGAAATTGTTTGGTTTGGGAAAAATTTTAAATGAGATTATAATAAATAATTGAGAATTTAATATAAAATATTTAGATTTTGGGTAATAAAAATATATATATACTTTTGTTAAATTTAAATAGCCTTATATGTAAATTATTTTTCAAAATAATATCTATTATAAATGCCTAGATTTGGGAGAGTTAATATATTTATGTAATTTTGGTTTAGAGGGTAGTCTTAGAATTTTAGAATAGCTTTGGAGTAGTTCTGAGTTTATATTAATAAATATTTATGTGCAATTTTGTAGACTTGAGAATTTTGGAGTAATCTTTGTGTGAATATTTGTAAGCTAAAGAGTACCAGGTAACTCTGAAAATTCTTTCTTGTACATGTGAATTGTGTATGATTATATTGTGGATTTACTAATTATTATATTCCTGAAATATAATATTATGATTTTTGTAAAATAAATGTTTTGGTATGTTATATGATTTTATTAAGATTTGTTGCTAGTAATTATGATCAATATTTAAATATATTAATAGCTATGAAATTATCATGAATTGCTATTAAATGGTATATAAGTTTTATTGCTATCTTATTTTTAATATATTTGAAGAAGCATTTATGATGTAACATTGTTGGCATCTAACATGTATTGTTGGGCTAAGGATAGAAGGAGATTGTATGGATATAAAATTACCACGTGGTATGCCATCACTCGGTGCACAGTGGATGGCACTTGTCAGGGCCCCTTCTTCCATGTTTTCCTTTGGCCAGGAATTCATTGGAGCTGTAGGACATGTGACACCTCCCTATTCACAAAGGAGGGGAGCCATAATCCGAGCTTGAGCTCTATATCTTTGGCCGGATATATCTCTTGTATCGGTGAGCTTGGAATAATTCAGTAAAATGGATTAGTTCCTATCGGACTATGTGTTAGCCTATGGCTCCAGTCAGCGGTATAAGGGTGGACGGTGATATAAGGGAGGCAGCATATTGCATTATTTTTGGATATATTGAAAAATAAATTGAAATTGAATTGAATGTATCAAATCTGTGATTTTTAATATATACATATATACAGACCTATAAATAGATTTTTGGTTTATCATATGTGATTTGCTTGTATAGGTTAGAATTTCAGTAGTTATTGAGACGTTTGATCTCACCCCCCTATATTAACAATTTTTCAGGCAAAGGATCTAGTAGGAATCAAGGGAAGGCACCAATGGAGTGAGCCTTGAAGGCTTTTGTGCTCCTCAAGCACATGCTATGTTATATTTTTATTTGCCATGACTATAAGACTTTAATAGTTTATGCAGTTAAAGATATATTTTTGAAATGTTTTGAAATTGACTTGTGGCAGTATTAGAAATATGTATGGACTTTTCAATTAAATATATTACGTATACTGATATAATTACGTGAGGTGTTACATATACAAAGTATAATATATATTAAATAAGAATAAAGTTAAAAGGTTGTTAAGTTTAAAATGAGAGTTAATAAAATTTAAGATTTGTTTTAGTCGGTGTTAAACATGTTAAAAGTAATTTGTAAATAGAACCCCATGAGTATTTGTTTTTAGCTACACTTATTTATTTTTGTTGGTTAAAAGTATTACTTTGTCCCTTATTATAAGATCTTTTTAATTAAATTGTGCGGTTTAATAAAACAATTAAAATTAGTTAAAAACAATTATTACGTAGCAAATGTAATTTTTTTCCCAAATATACACTAATATATAAATGGATAGATGTGAGAAGTAATAGTGAGATAAATAAAGAAAGAAATGTATTAAATGCATTAAATTAGAGGTAAAATAGGTAATAATATATTAAATATTCAGACAAATTCAAAAAAATTTTATAAAAAAATAATTTAATAAAATAAAGGACAAAGAGAATATTTATGTTTTATTCAATGATCTAAAAGTTAGGGATTCAAGTCTTAAAACAGCCTATTTATTACCAGCTTCATTTAAAGCACCAAAAAAAGGAAGCCAAAGCCTAACCGACATGACCCTAAACTCAAACCCTACTACGTCAAAAAAAAACCCTAAGCTCCAATCAATGTCAGAAAGTCACATGCGCCACCATTGTTGCTGTCACGAAGATCAAGAGCCACTAGTAAACATGAGAAGCAAGGGATGAGGGTTCAAAAAACCATTCAAATGATCCCATCCCTTTTAACAATGAAGCATGTTCACCACCAACACGCAACTACTGATAATTCCGTTTATTTATTAATTTTTTTAAAATCAAATTCATTAGAATCTTCTCTCTCTTCGCCTTCTCTCCATTCCCTTCGAATTTGCATTAGGGAATCAACACCAAGGAAAACATTCGCTGTATCAGGGATGCATCTTGGATAAAGGAGGTTATAAGATGATAAATTTGTATTTGCGGGCCCCTTTCTAAAACCTCACACTGGTTTCTTAGTGCGATAACGAACTAAGAAGCCGCAATCTTCAATTTCTGGGTTTGATTCCAGGGTGCTCAAGACGTGAAGCGTGTGAGGGTAATTTCCCGATCATTCAGCGGTGGTCTTTGTTTCACGGTGTTGCTAGTTTTCTCCTTCCCCCCCCCCCTCGTTGTTCTCCCACGCGCTATTCATTGTTCGTCTCATTATTTTACATTACCGTCATGCGGTTGTTTTTTCCACACATCAACTGTCATGCTCCCCCACCCCCCATAAACTGTTATGCGGTTTTTTTCACATCAACTGTTATGCGGTTATTGGTCTCCTACAACCCATTCACGGTCTTCAGAGTAATTACTAGTAGTCATCAATGGCAACTCTCCATTCTAAAGGTGAGTGATTAGTACAGACAAATCTATGGTTTTTAAGACAAAGTTTTCTCTTGGCACAAAGATAAAGCTATTTGGTCCTTCATCACCCTATTGCACACATTCTTAAGGAGTGGAATTAAGCCCAGTTTTGGCTTGAAAATTACACTAAACGGATGCAAAAAAAAAGGGGATATCATATCAAGACACACCACATTATGCAATAGAAATCAAACTAAACATATTCGTTAATCATATTTGATTAATTTCTAATAGAATCAGATCAAGTAGCTCTAATTATTAATGTATCCTCTTTGATCATTTCGAAAGACTAAACTATAATCCAGACTGGAGTATGGTTAGAAGGGGTCTTGCATCGGCACCAAGCAGCACGGGCATGAGCCGTAATTGTCCAGCCTTTCTATAGCATCATGTTGGTTATTCCACCAAGCCGAAAATAAGAAGATCACCTCAAGTTGAGCAAGAACACACACACACAGATGCAATCAAATATTGCGATTCATCAATGTTATAACTCACGTTACTTGTTAGAACTGAAGTCATATATGGAATTCGAGATTTCTTAGTGGGGACTAAAGTTATGATAAAGTTATGATCATTTCAAGATATTTTTTTCAAAATAGTTTTGAGCCTAATAAATCTATAAATAAATACAAATCGGAGATTTAGTGAATATAAGCCTAAACGACAAAATTCAACAGAGGCACAAACCAAATCTACCTCAAAAATTAACTCCAAACAAAAAAAACAATAAAAAGTAAAATGCAAGGCCTCCGAACCAGAAGATACTGAGGGAGCAAGGGGCAGAAAACAAAACATTCAAAGCTGATCCGACCAAAAGAGGAACATTTTCCACGCATCACAAGCATTTGCTTCTTCAAGTTCTGCAGATTTTTAACGAAAACAAAGCTATGTTCCGCAGATTTTGAAACACACATACCAACAATTTCAGTCTCCAGTTTCATGACCAAATACAAAAACGCTATTACCAGACCATGTAAGCAAACATGAAGTTTGAAGGCAATCAGATAACTAGCAACAATAAAGCAAACGACAGCATAATCAAAACCAATTCAGACTTGTTCTTCTTGACCAAATCCCTTCACCCGAATTCCAACAAATTTCATATAGGGTCATTAAAAGAGAACAAGGACTGAATGAAATTACGTTATATGGCCAAATCTCCAATACCAATAAGTTAAATTCAAACAATAGAGCACATAACACACACACACACACATTTTTCCCATGATCAGATTCTCCTGTGCGACCACGGAATCATCAAATATGCACCAACCATTTAAGGGAAGCTCAGCAGTAATCATACCAAAATCAAATAAGATGCAGGCAACTATATTTAACAATAATATCAAAACTTCCATTAAAGCAAAACAAAAAGGCCTCCAAATAATGGAATTGTTCGCAAAAAAAAAAAAAAAGTGACCTTCAATGTAAAAGAAACACAGTAGTGCTAATAAACGGAACATCAGTTTCCTCTAATTGAAAATAGATATAATAATATTTCGAGAAATTCACCAACTAATCAACACTTTGCATAATGTCCTCAGCAGTGAATTTGGTTCCCTTGTCCTTGTCAGCAGCCGCACGACCCTTGGCCTTACGATCAAGCAATGACTTACGATCCTTATCCAATCTCAGCTTCGTGATCACAACTTTCGATGGATTGATCCCAACATTAACGGTTGATCCATTTACCTTCTCGCGGGTAATCCGTTCGATATGGATGACCCATTTTCGACGGTAAACTTGAACGACCTTGCCGTCGCGTCCCTTGTAGGTACCTCGAACAACCTGAACCTCATCGTCCTTGCGAATAGGCATAGATCGCACGTTGTACTTTGAGCGGAGATCGTTCGAGAGCGGCGCACTCATAATCACACGGCGAACACTCGACGGCGCCGTAAAGTGGGCCTTGCGACTCTTGCGGCGAGAGCTTGAAACTCTCGGATTGTACTTCATCTTCGCTCTCTTCTGAAACAAACGAAGAGCTAGGGTTTTTCAGTGTTATCCGTGACGGCAAACAGGAATAACATGGAGAGCTTGCGAGGTTTATAAAGGCAAAAACTCTGTATGGTTTTCCCTTGTTTTTTTGGTACTTAAAATATGAAATGGATCGGGTGGTGCTTAATCCGACCGGATCAACCCATTATCTTGAAATTATATTGGGCCATAATATTTCGAATTTTATTTGACACTGTTGATCTTGTCCGCCCAATAAAAATAGTCTTAAAACGATATTTTGATTCAAAAATGAAAAAAATGTATTACCAAAAAAATTAAAAATTTTTTTTGGCAAAGAACATGATGCATTAACATTTTTTGCTGTAAACATATTTAACTACCAGAGTTATTTTTATTTGGAGTCCAACCATATTTGAATTTGATTTAATAACATAAGATGTTAAATATTGTATTAAAAAAAGGAATACTCCCTTCAATTTTAGGAGTTAATTGAAATGTTTGCTTTAATCCTGATGAATGCAAAATTTCATTTCACTTTACATCTCAAATTTATTTTCTTCCCAAAATTATTCTTATTAATTATTAATTATATGAATAAATTAATGAGCATAATGATTAATGCTATGTTTGGCTCAATTAAGGGGAGGGGAGGGATGGAAAGGAGGAGAGGGATTTTAACTATACTTTGTTTGATTTAGGAGGGGAGGGGAGCTAACAAGAAATGGACTATTTTGTCATTGTGCAACTTAGATAGGTTTTTCATTTTTTTTATTTTTTCACTAAATAAATATATGATGCAATTTGCCAACTTTAGCAGATCCGTGTAAAAAAATTTTAATTATTTGTTCAGAAAAATTTTGCACAAAAATTCATCACAGGACATTTGAAAATAGAAACAAATTTTGAAGAGAGAAGTGTGAAATTTATAGAGAAACGTTCAAATTCCAAATATTTTCCCAAAAATTGATTAAAAAAATCACTATCTTTTGTCTTTAATATAAGAGATAGTTAACTAATTTGAATAAATTTAAAAAATTAGTTAATTTAATTTTTTTTAATAAATAGGTATTATCTTTAAATTAAGTGTATTGGCTAAAACTACTATTATTATAAGAACTATCTTAAAAAAAAGAAATAAATATGGTAGATAAAATATATTGAGATTTTATATTTAAGATTAAAATAAAATTCAAACAAACTTTTATATTAAAGACTGAAGATAGTATTTTTTTAAAAAAATGTATCAAATAATAGGATATTTTTCCATCCCATTTGCTTTCTTCGGCCCAATCATTTTTTTTTTTGTCTGATTCTTCGCCCAATCAAACGTTTGAGAAAACTAGTTTGAGAAAAGCGTTGAGCCGGGATATCTGAGGAAGATATTTGATGTGACAATTTCGAAATCTGATGACATTTCCTCTCCTTTTAATTATAAGATCTTATTTATAAACTATAAATAAAATTTTATAATTAAGACATAGGAGGTAGTATAAGAGTTAATTTAATTTTTAATTTGGTCATAAATATAAGATATCAACATATTTTATCTCTTATATTTATCCTTTTTTTTTTCTAAAGTAGTTATTGTAGTATTTACACATGTTAAAAATTTTATAGTAGTATTAGCTTATACACATGATTAGTAAGGTTATTCTAGAAAAAACAATATATTTATTACAAATAAATAACTTAACAAACTTTTCTAATTTACTCAAATTAATCAAATAAGTTGTTATATTAAAGAATGGGGATAGTATTGAATTCGATATTTAAAAAATTTCTTAGCCAGATAAGGAGAGGAAGCTACTCGCCACGTTAAAAAGGTATTTTATGAACATTAATATCCATGTGTTAAAAAAACAAATTCAATTATTTTTTTGGAAAAAAAACAGAAAAATGCTATTTAAACTTCATAATCCCCAAATGATATGTTAAATTTCAGAAATCCCAATGTGGTCTTGAGACCAAATTAGGATTATTATATAAAAAGAAAAGACCAAATTACCCTTAATTTTAAATATTGTTTTTAAAATATCACAGCCCCCACTAGCTAGCAGGTCACTAGAGCTCCGGCTACCGGCCGACAATTGGTCACTAGAGTTCCGTCGGTTGGAAAAAATTTTTGAAAATTTTTACAACTTCAGTATAACGGTTAACAACTTTTGTAATGATATTGTTAATAGAATTACAAAAGTTGTTAACCGTTATACTGAAGTTGTAAAAATTTTCAAAAAAATTATTTCCAGTCACCGGAGCTTGTTGAATTTTTCAAAAAACCTGTTGTTAATTGATATATTGAAGTTGTTAATAGCATTATAAAAGTTGTTAACTGTTATACTGAAGTTGTAAAAATTTTCAACTTCAGTATAATGTCAACAATTACGTTTTTTTAAAAAAATTTTACAACTTCACTATAATGGTTAACAACTTCGATATAGCAGTTAACAACAAGTTTTTTAAAAAATTCAAAAAGTGGCATTTTTATAACTTCAGTAATGCTATTAACAAACTCAAAAACCTGTTGTTAACCGCTATACTAAAGTTGTTAATATAATTACAAAAGTTGTTAACTGTTATACTGAAAGTGTAAAAATTTTCAAAAAAATTGTTTCCGATCACCGGAGCTTGTTGAATTTTTCAGAAAACCTGTTGTTAATTACTATATTAGAGTTGTTAACAGCATTATAAAAGTTGTTAACCGTTATACTGAAATTATAAAAATTTTCAATTTCAATATAATGTTAACAATTATGTTTTTTTTAAAAAAATTTTTACAACTTCAGTATAATGGTTAACAATTTCGATATAGCAGTTAACAACAGGTTTTTCGGAAAATTCAAAAAGTGGCATTTTTATAACTTCAGTAATGCTGTTAACAAACTCAAAAACCTGTTGTTAACCGCTATACTGAAGTTGTAAATATAATTACAAAAGTTGTTAACGGTTATATTGAAGTTGTAAAAATTTTCAAAAAAATTGTTTCCGGTCGCCGAAGTTTGTTGAATTTTCCAGAAAACCTATTGTTAATTGTTATACTGAAGTTGTTAATATCATTACAAAAGTTATTAACCGTTATACTGAAGTTGTAAAAATTTTCAAAAAAAATTTTCCGACCAACGAAACTCCGGTGACCAATTGTCGGCCGGTCGCCAGAGCTCTGGTGACTGCCGCTGCCGGAGCTCCGGTGACTGGCCGGCCAGTGGGAGCTGTGATATTTTTAAAACAATATTTAAAATCAAGGGCAATTTGGTTTTTTTCTTTCACATAATAATCCTAATTTGATCTCTTGAGACCAAACTGGGATTTTTGAAATTTAACATGCCATTTAGGGATTATGAAGTTTAAGTAGCATTTTTCTACCTTTTTCCCTTTTTTTTTAATATTTATAAATTTTACTTATCTAATTTTTAGATTCAGATTCAAAATCAAAGGAAGTAACAGCCGGCGGGGCCCTGGGGGCCTAGAGTGAACATTTCAGATGCCTCCGTGAGTTTTTCCAGCTACACATTAATATTGGATGGCTACTTTATCCACTTTGCCTTCAGTTTGATATTCCATCTCGTTGTCAAAAGCTACCTTATGTCGAAAATAATTTCTACGTAAGGATGATTTACTGCTCCAAAATAATAACAGTACTACTCTTCTGGTCCTTAATGTAAGACCCATTTAACTAATTTGATTAGATTAAGAAAGTTAGGTAAGTAATTATAAGAAATGTGACACGTTTTTTCTAAAATATCATAATCATCTTTATTAATATCCCCTCTTCCTCTCCTACTTGATTATAGTTGAGGGAGTATTTATAAAGGTAATTTAGAAAAAATTGATAAATATGAGAAATAGGTTTTATATTTAGGATCAAAACCAACTCAACAATTAGGTCCTATATTAAAGACCAGATCCACTTTTATAATATAAAATAAATTTTATATTTGGGACCGAACGAATACTTTAGTTAAATCAATGCACATAGTTCTCTATCCCACGGGTAATTCCACAATTAGCTTCAACTGCGTCCCGCGCCAATTCACATGAATCCAATTTGTCTGGATTTTGTTTCAGGAGCCCTCCAACAATTGGACGGCAAAAGCCCCATGTACTAAAATAACATTTGTCTTCTAAGCCAAATTTAACAGAAATAACGAATCTTTATTTAGTACGGACGATGATGAAGCCCTCGTCGTGTCAAAATACGAATTCTCATTCTCTACTATTATAAGCCTGTTATTCAACGAACGTAGACAAGGTTTTGAGCCATTCCATTTATAATGACCAAGAAGAAGTGCTTTTCCTTCGTGTATGCCCTCTGTTTCTTCGTCAAGCCTAATTTCAATTTGCTCCTCAAGTGAAAATTCCACATTTAACAATTTATGGAGTTTATTTCATTACAAAACAGAACAGAAAAATTTCCCATAGCTTAAAAGTGAAGATTCCACGATTTTAACTGCAGTAATGACACTTTGCCACGGTTGGAATGATGAGCTGAGGCGAAATTTCCCATAATTTCTGATGTCGGAATGCTCAGTGAACTCATAGAAGGAAGCATAACTGTTTAAATACTGATCAAGTTCCACTTTGTGTAAATATAAAAGATGTATTTAAAAGAGACATCATGTAGATTCAACAATATTTAAATTGGATTTAGTAAGTGCCACTCCCATTCTTATTCTAAATCACTCATAACTTATTCTGAATAATGCATTAAATTGATAAAAAAAAATTAAATTTACCTCTATTAAAAGTTTTTTTCCTTCTAAATTTGCAAATTATTATCAAATCTCTTCTTTTTCTCACTTCTAAATCAAAATCAAATAAGAATAAAATCACAAAAAAATATCATTAAATATCTTATAAATAATTTATATTTATAGCAAACATTTTTCCTTGCAAGTAATTTGTACTAGCTCCGATTCTTAATATAAGACCCTATTTGACTTTTATTTTTGTCCTAAATATAAGACCCTAATCCACTTTTTCTCTCATATTTATACATTTTTCTAAAATAACCCTTCTAATAATGATAGTTCTAGTCAATACACTTGATTAATAAGGATATTTTAGAAAAAATAACACT